CAGTTTAAATAATATCTTTGCAATTATGTCAATGATATCGCCGGAAATGAAGTGTCCCCAACTAAGCAAGCCAGAGGCGACAGTGGCAAGGAACCAAAACTCCATCGGTGACAGAATGGAGAAAAAACCTTGGGAGAAACCAGGCTCAGTCGGGGGGCCAGTTCTCCTCTGACCAGACGAACCAGCAGTACGGAAAAATCAATTTAAGACGTAATAAAACAGACGATGAACAATATTAACAGCAATTATTATATGATGCAATCAAACTTATAGCAAAATGTGGTAGTTCTGTATGTTGTTTCATGGTTGGCATCATCTGAGGTCCTCTGAGGGCTTGCATCATCTCTTCTCAGGTGTTCTGGATCCAGACTGAAGCTTGTGTAAATCCTAGTTCCCACGGGATGTCAATCCCAGCAGAAACAGAGAAACAAATACAAACATAATTAGCGTAGCTGCTGTTCCAACCAAGCAAAAATGATTTGTTTAACCCAAACTAAAGAATAACAATGTGCATTTGATTAGATATAACTGCAGTAAAAGATTATGACTGCAGTAAAAGATTATGAGATGCATTATTTGAATGCTTGGCCAAAGAGATGTGTCTTTAATCTAGATTTAAACAGAGAGAGTGTGTCTGAACCCCGAACGTTATCAGGAAGGCTATTCCAGAGTTTGGGAGCCAAATGCGAAAAAGCTCTACCTCCTTTAGTGGACTTTGTAATATTAGTATATATATATATATATATAAACTAGTAATATTAGTAATAGTAATATTGATATTCTGAAATGTTTCATGCTATTTAAATTATAGTTTTAGTATTTACAATATTTTTAAAAGTTTAACGTTTCTCCTAAAATAAAACTGAAGACATCTTAAGACAAGGATGATATCTCAATGAGACATATAAGAGAATCACCCCTTAGTATCCTAGAGTAACCTCTGTCAGAGCCATAGCCTTGTGGGCAGCACATCAACATGAAGCCACAACTGCACCTCAGACAACATGTGTTCAAATCCCAGCTAAAGGTACTTTCCTGCTCCTGTTCAATTCTCACCTGTCCAATTGTTTCCTGTCTCTACTCCTACTGTCCTTACCATTGAAGGTGAAAAACCCCATTGCAATAAAAAAGCAACAGCAATCTCTGAGCAGTAAAACATTTTTTTTTATAATGGTCTTGCAAGAGATTACAGCAAAACAATAAAGATATCTCCCATGTTTCTCACACATCTCTCTCCCATTGTCATTTTGGATTATTTTCTTTCAGAACTTTCTCATGTCTCAGTTGTGTCTACTTTTATTTATCCTAAGGTTTTTTTAGGAGAAACATCTGAGACACTGTTGAGACTAAAATGAGAAATACATGAGAATCACAACTAAGTCTCCTGAGGTTTAGAAAGAGCAACCATTGAGCAATAAAATATTCCTATAATGGAGTCTTGATAGAGATTGCAGCAAGACAATAAAGATATATCCTGTTTCTTCCACCACATTCTCTGTTTTGACTCTTTTTTTTTCAAATATTTATCATGTCTCATTTGTGTCTACTTCCATTTCTCCTAAGGAATTTTAGGAGAAACATCTGAAATGCTGTTGATACTAAAATTAGAGATAAATGAGAATCTCATCTAAGTCTCCTGAGCAAAAAACCAACCACTGAGCAATACATTTTTCCTATGGGATTTGTTGCATCCAGTGGGGACATAATTACTGATTATAATGACTTATACTGTCTTTTTTACGTGTTGCATTGCGTATCGCGCCGCGTAAACATAAAATCGTGTCTGCATTTGTGATCGGAGAAACGACAAACAACAAGCGCTACACTACACTGCTCAAAACTCGCGTTTGAATCGTCAGTGGCAAATTCTTTAAATATAAAAAACGTATGTACAGGCTGTGAGTCAGAAGCGCCAGACTGTCCTTGCAAAGTTGGATTCGCCCCACTTTATAGAAACAGCCTTTGTGTGTAGACGGCATTGGAGGCTACTCTTCCAGGTTCAGGAAACAATCCTCCATAAAATGCGCTGCACACATCTGAATATCTGGGTTGAACTGTTCTGGAACAGTGTTGTAAATACAACTTAACCACTGATTTATAGTTGCGTCCTCTTTTGGACAGCCAAACAAAGTAGTTTCACTTTCACAACGAAACACACAGCGTCACACACGGCGGGCTTGAGTGAGCGGAGGCCGGCGGGCTTGAGAACGACACGGCTGGCAGATTCGACGAAGGAGCAGCCGGCGGGCTTGCGGCAACCACATGTGACGACCCCGGGGTGGACTCCGCTTCGTCCACGGTGAAAGCCGATCCGGCGATCCACAGCGCAAAGTTGATGTATTTCCTCAGCGACCAGCACGGATCAGCTCTCGGCATGGCAAAGCAGATATCGTCCTCTTTTGGAAGGCCAAACAAAGTTTTGTTTTCACAACGAAACACACAGCATCCCCATGACATGGTGGCGGCAACAACAAAACTACAGCGAGAATAAAAGTTACGCCTTCTTTCTTTGCGTGAACATTTGGGTGGTGTTATGCAAATCTTCCCACACAGTGACGTAGACATGTGGGGGCATGTTTAAACGAGGCCTTTTAGGAGGGCGTGGACCAGTCTTAACTTTTATAAATAACTTTATAAAAAGTTTATAAAACTTTTATAAACTTTATAAAAAGTATACTCTTTGGGTTTGAGACTTTATTCTTAGCAACTTTAGGGATCTTATCTATGCCCGAACAGCTTGTAACACTCCAAAGAGAAAGAAATAATTGAAATTGCATCATATGACCCTTTTAAGGTGGCGTGTGGAATTTAGATATTGAAATAATTACTCATATCCCTGTTCAATGCATAGAGACAACTAAGGAAGTTATTTGTTGGTTGTTTTCTTGAAGAATGTAAACGCTCTTTTTTTTAATATTAGGATATGTGAGTTTCTAGCTTAACCAGTGGTGTGGGTTTAGGATAGGATGAACTTTTCGGCTGAGCAAAGGAAGACAGAATATCATAGAAACATGGGGGTCGGGCTCTTTTGTCTTGTGGCAGTGTATATAATAGGGCTGCCTCCTAATAGTCGGCTAAACATTACTCAACGAGAATAGGCTTAGTCGACTAAAATTGTATTAGTTGGTTAGTCGCAGAAAATAAAAATTGTCAGTGTCCATGAAGGACAGATTGTTAACTGCTGGTCCTTGAGGTAATTTCAGTACATTGAGCAGGAAATCCTAACGTTGGTCTATCATTCATCAACCTCAAATATGGCTTATCATTTGAAAGTGAGTTAGTAGTAGCAACTTTGAATGGCTGCTAGCTCTAACGTTAACCTAGATAAATGTGCGCTATTAGGCATATATCCAAGTGTTTGTGTGGAGTGTGGAAGCTATTCGTTTTAGCCTCAGACATCACGCCCACAGACTGTTGGCTAAATGTCTGATGCATACGGCACACAAAATTGGAAACGCTTCAGGAGTTTCGAAGTCGTCATCGGATTGCTTGAATTATACAGGATTTCCTGGAGACGTGTGTGCCACGTTCTTTAACGTTCTGCCTGGAAACAAAGATGTTGCGATGCCAAACCTCCTCATGAAAGAAGAAAGCTGTCGTGTTTACAACTGTGACAAGGAGCTCTTATCAGGATCAACTAAACGCCGGACTTTCAAAAGTATGAGAAATATTTAAAGAATGTCGAAGTAATGAAAATTTTCCATGGTGCACCTGACAACCTGTTAAGGTACACTAGTGTGCTGCGGCACAGTGGTTGGGAAACACTGGAATAGGCTATATATTAAAAGCCCTCCAAGTATATATTAAAGTAATTAACACTAGAACCGCCACGGGGTAAATTTTACCCATGGCTGTTTTTCAAATGTACATAACAGATTTAAAATAAAACATTAAAGTCTCCCAGTCTTTGACTTTTACTAAAATTATGTAATTTACAATCCAATGTTGTTAAAAATTATTCAGATAAAACCAGATAAAATGTATTTTCGCGCTGTCATTTTCTTGCCGTTTATGTTTTAATATTGTACATTTCTAGGCAACACCTTTCACTCACTGATTTAGCGGTTATCAGTTTCATAAATAAGGTCAGAATGACTAAAAAAAGGTGATTTATGGAAGGTAGGTATTAGAAACACTAAATGCCATGAGTGATGGAGAGTCTGATGGTAAGTTATGCGTCCTGGGTCGGCTCAGCATCTGACGGCTCATCTGACAGTGGTCCAGATATCATATTTACATGTTGTAGCCTCACGTTATTCTAATTGGTCAAACTTTGGTTTAATTATTTAATTTTTGCCTTGCCATATCGTTTATTGTTCGCTACTGTGTTGCTATTCTAGTCTGGCCGTTTCCTGAATAATAAAAAAAAAAAAGATCTATATGATGTAATGAAGAAAACTATTTTTTGATTACCCAAAGTGTAATGGCGTTGTTCTCTTATTCAAATTATAAATAATATAACTAAACAAATTAATAAATATTTAGGTAAAGCTGTGCGCTTGAATTTGTCATCGCATCATCCTATGCAGTGTGGTGAATTATTATTGCTCATTATTGTCTATAGGCTATTTTAGTCATCTAAATAGCATGGGTTATTTTAATATATTGATTAATGACATTGTATTATAATATTTCACCACCCAAATATTTAGGCTACTACCTTCTAATTCCATTGTTGTTCCAGTGCAGGCTTTTTTTTTTTAGCTTAGGCTACTGACTGTTATGGATTAGTGTAGCCTGCATTAAAAAATCTTGAACATAAAACAACAGGATAAAAATAGAGTTGATGGCTAGACATATTAATTTCATGACTCTGGACACTTCTTTGTGAAGACAGTGGCATAATACAGTGAAATAATATGTTATTTAGACATATAAATACAGTTGTCATGTGCGTGGGTAAAATTTACCCGCTTGCACTTTTAGGTATATAGCAACCTCTGGCGGTTCTAGTGTTAAATTAATATTAGTGTTTAATTAGTCAACTAATGGTTTAAATAAATGAAGTTCCTTAACGTAAGTTAGGGAGGAGCGAGCCCATCTAATCTTTCAATCAACAGCCAGAGTATATAAGCAGCTGCTTACCTCTCTCCAGTCGCAGCTGTTCCAGCATCTTCCGGTTGTGTCGCGCAAACCATGTCAGGCTCACCGGACCTCCAGCTGTTCCCATCAGATGACGAACTTTTCTCCTGTCCCGAGACACCATCAGTGGCAACGAGCAAATCACTGGATCACACGGATCCAAACAAAGAGTCTCCGTCTGAGCGTTCCGGTCGAAAGATCCAGCGCTCATACAAACCACGCACCAGAAGACTACTCTCCCCTCCACCTTCAAGATCACCAGCGGTTACTGCGCCTCGTCCATCTCTTCATTCCGCAGCCACCATTCCTCCGATTCCACCCATTCAAAAATGGTCCGTCAACAGCCTACGTCAAGCCCTCTAAAACTCCGGACTTCATTTCTCCCGCAGATCATCAAAAGCTCAACTCTACGATATACTCACTAACACCAATAACAGCTCCAGCATCCCAACAAGTCAAGTCAAGTCAAGTCAAGTCTGCTTTATTGTCAATTCTTCCACATGTACAGCACATACACACAGAGAATTGAAATTGCGTTACTCTCAGACCCTTGGTGCATACAGATAACATAAATACAGATAGGTACAGATTAAATACAAAATACAAAATGCAACTATACAAATAAGGTAAAATGTAAAAAATATATATATAAAGCACAAGACATATGTCAGATAGAGTGCAAACCAGTAAAAGTAAACAACAGTGCAAATATAATGATTGTAGTGCATGGTGTGGGCCTCTGGAGCAGACCGAGATCCCGCAGCTCTTCGGCACTTGGAACTTCGGTTCCTTAACCTTCCAACAAACTCCTCAACTTCTCCAAAAAAGAAGACTCAGTCCTCATCCATTTCCGTTTCTCTCCCGGCTCGGCGTTCTGAACGCAATCATCCTCAGCGCGCTAATCCTGAGGCTGCGGCAAAGATCAGAGGGGGAAAAACCAGAGCCACTCACACTTCTGTGTCCGCCGGCCTTTCCGCCCGGCCAGCAACAGCAGCTGCAAAAAGCAGTTCCTCAGTTCCTTCAGCGCTCACGAATACTCATTTGCAGGTTACTCCACTTCCCAGGCAAGACCTATTTATCCCATCTTACTCTTCTGTACCTCCTTTTGCTTCTCCACCTCCTTTCAATTATTTCCTGTATAACCCATGCGCAACATCTTCACAGACGGTAACTTTTTTTTCACCTCTTCCTCAGAGAGTGGATCCTAGTGCGAGTATGCCTTCACTAGCGATCCCCCCCTCTGTCCTTTGACGCTACTTCTTCTCATCCCCTTTCCTTCCCTTCTGTGCCCCAAATTTCTCCTAACATTCCCCCCGGCTCAGTCCCTAGCGTGAGGTTGCCTCCGCAAAGGATCCCTTCTCCCCTTCTGCCTGCTAACCCTCCCCCTCCTCTCGCTTCAGCCCCTCCTAGCCATCTCGGACA